AATTTTTGACACAATTGTGTTCTTTTTATTGAGAAAATATCACTAAAAACCGATTTTTTCGAAATAAGTCAGAATTCACCATGGATCGGACAATATTCACCATGCATCGGACATACGGTATTTAAACCGGAAAAATACCATACCTTGATCTTGGTGCTTTAAAATTAGTGATATCGAAACATTTTTATCATTTATTTAAAAATTAACCTTCTAGTAAATTTGAATGACTATTTTGATCTACAAATATGAAGAGATTTTAGTTGCATCACATCGCCTTAGAAAGGCTTTACAATGCTAGTAATATGGCAACTCGTGCCTTTGTCTCGTGGATAATCATCATGTAGTTTTAAGAAATAAACTGAGTTCACTTCTAGTCGTCATATATCGATAACTTGTATTTCCACTGAAAATTTTGAGTTTTTATTTTCTATTTCCACAAAAAACAGCTGTCATTTGGGTTTTTTGTCCAAAGCAAGGTATGTGTCCGATGCATGGATAACTCACCCTAACTATAAGCCCTATATTGACCAAACTTGCATGGATGATACATCTAAGGATGCACACTACCATGCTTGCTTCGGATGCTGGATCTGACCTACATTTTCTGGATGAAGGACCAGGTTAAAGTTTTTGGAGCAGGTCTCATTTCCAAGTAACTTTAAGCCATATGTTGACCATACTTGCATGGATGATACATCTAAAGCTGCACACTAGCAGACTTGTTTCGGATGCTGTATCTGACCTACATTTTCTAGATGAGTGACCAGGTTAAAGTAAACTGTAAAGGCTATCAGAACCAAACTTGCATGGATGATGCATCACTTGATGAACACTCTCAAACTTGCTTCAGATGCTGGATATGACTTACATTTTCTGGATGAGTGTCTAGTTTAAAGTTTTTGGAGCAGGTCCATTTCCAAGTAACTACAGTGCAGGAACTAATTTTGTTACATAAACCAGCATCAGCATAAGCATTAGTAGCATCAGGATCGAGCAAGCATCAGCATCAGCATTTACAAAACAGCATTATCAGGATCAGCATCAGCAAGCAAAGGATAAAACCAGCATTGACCCACATAAAATCAGCATTATCCTACTAGCATCAGAAAACCAATGAGTTTTAATTCAGTAAAAAATTTAAAAAGAAAGAAAGAATATTGGTTAAAGTATTCACATTATTGATACATAGTGAGATATCATGATCAAATAATTGTAAAAGGCACTTTTATTGCTTTAAACGGCAATGCTGAAATTCATTATCTACTTCCGGTAGCATGATGCTACTTCCGGTAGCATTGACCTAATTATAAAACAGCATCAGGATAAGGATTACTAGCATTAAATCAGCAAGCAAAGGAAGCACTCAAAACAGCAAGCAAAGGAAGCATTCAAATCAGCATCGATGCTGTAACAAAATTAGTTTCCTGCACTGTATAAGCCCTATACCTGGACCAAAATTGCATAAATGTTACATCTAGTGATGCACACTAATAGGTTATTAACTTGGGACTTTGCCTTACTTAAAGACAACATTTGTTGAGGTGAGCTCTGTAATCTCTGATTACCTATGTTTTTAGATATACAGTGGCTTCCATTTTATCGGATAGTGGTTTAACGAATATTTCGGCTATTTCAATATAATATCAGAGCACAAAACCATTTCTTATATATTTATTAATAATTTCACCTGATATTCTGATGAGAAAATATTGGAATTTCGTTTTATCCGATACAAAAATTTGGACTATCATAGTGTTTTTTGATAATCAGCACCTTGTTCACACCTCCAACTTCGTATGTGAAGCCTTTGTTTACACAGTTTGACACCAATTACCTTGACTGGCTTGAGTATGACAATGAGGGGTTTAGTTATGGCTGGACGCACACAGGCACCTTACCTGTGTCAATAGTGGGCATAGTAAATAGATATGTAATGGATATATGCCGAATACTGTTCTATATGTAAAATTATCAGACTGTTTGAGGCCCTAACGGGCCTCAAACAGTCTGATAATTTTGCATATAGAATTGTATGAGGCATATATCTTACTTAAAACATTGCTATTTAAATGTCCAAAAGTTACCTGGAGGAGTCCGATAATTACACAATAGGAGTTCAGGCATCAATAGTTTTCTACCTGAAACTGTCTAATAAATAGACAAAAGAAAAGAGAAAGTTTTTTTCTTTAGACAGTAAAATCGGTGAGTGAACTCTTTTGTTTCATTCATTCAATGGCAGTTGTTTGGCTTAGCAGGAACTATGGACAGTGGTCAGGTGATGAAGGATTTTTTTAATGATTCGGAATATATTTTTTTTATTAAATGCGTTTGACATTGATACAGATACAGTGTTGGATGATATCTTCAAAATGCATTTACAGTAAAGATGCGGATTTTTATCTAAAATTTTGATTGGATGATGTAATGAAAATCTTGGGTTTTTAGAAGTGAAGTCATTGGCAAAAAAAAAAAAAACCGAATGGAAAGTGTTACTTTTGAGGAAGGTTAAAACTCCAGTTTTCTTCTTGGATTTGCTATTTTTAACAACTTAATTTCCTCGAGTTCACTTTCCCTAAATTTTTTCTCCCTAACATTTTTTTTGGTTTCTGGACAAATTAAACCTTGATTTCACTCTAGTTGTTGTTTTTTAACTACTGTCCGATTTTGTTATCACTGCCATCCGATAATATATTATTGGACTGCTTATTATTATTATCGGACGGCTACAGGTAAATTTTTAGACTGCAAGAACAAAGGCATGACGTCACAGCAATGTTTTAAGTTTTGATTACAGTTGTGATGATCAGCTTGGGTTCAATGATGCACTTGTTAATTATGACAATTATTTACAATTTTTTCGGCGTGAAATTTTAATTATTGAACTGATTAGCTTGTGTATGACAATTTGCTTGGATAATGAAATAAGCCTATTCAATCGTTTAACTTGGTCAATTGGCTTAATATTTATTCACTTTTCAGTGCAAAATTTATAGTAAAAATCATAAATGGCCCGTTCTATAAAAATACGTCTCAAAATTCATACCATCTTTCTCCACATGGCTCTCAAAATCTCTCTTCAACAGACAAGAACGAGACTGGTAAACTCACACACAGTATAAAATACGTAACCGTATTAAAGAAACAAATAAAAATGAAACAATTACATATATTTAATATTTTTGTTTATTTTTAATTTACAATCTATCCAGGGAAAAATAGTTTATGGTTATTAGTCAAGCATTTAATCTACTTCCGTTTCCAAAATGGCGACCATCGAAGAAGGAATGTAAACATGTGCTGAAGAAAGATGGCAATAACTATCAAAGAATATATTCTATGCGTCAATTTACTTGAAAAAAAATTTCATATTAAATTCATAAGTAAGTGAAATAAATTATTTTTAGTAAAGTCATTAAGTAAACATGTCAAAAGAAAACGAAAGTGCAAGCTTGAAATTTGCTACGATGTATTATCAATACATGTAGCTCTATACATCTATCTTTGGACTCGGTATGGAGCAATCGGCTATTCTAATTTTCGGCTATTCAGATAAAACAAGGCTGACAACTTGACTATTCGATAAAACAGGAACCACTGTATCATGACATGTTAATTTGGCAGTGATATACAGTTTTAAAGTGAGCGGCACAAAGCGAGCTTAATAGACTAACGTGTAAGAATGGAGAAAATTCGGAATGAAATCTGTACATACGTCAGGCAAATTTTCTGGTGCAACATTCCCAGAATTCCTTCGCGACCAGGGTTCCATGCGAAATTCTTACAAAACATACAAAAGACCAAGGATAATTATTCATTACCGAGAAATACGTTCTCTTTCTTTGCAGAGAGCTTAAAAGAAACAAAAAATAATAACATCTACTCTACAACATATTTCATTTATTATTGCACAAGATCTTTAGTCTTGTTCAACCAGACGCTCGACTGTCTCCATAAATTCAGACGTCATGTGACGTCACAGTCTAGACTGTGTCTCGTGCGGTTTGACGTTTGAAGAGGCGGATCAACGTTACAAGTGTAATTAAGCTCCTATAGCTTTTTGGTGGTACAATTGCGTTCGCCCCAATGGTCACCCATAAAAGTTAACATATTATATATTGATATGTTTATTAGACAGTGATATTCATTTCTAAATTCATCATGACATGTTGATTTGGCAGTGATATTCAGTTATATATATTGTGGCATGTTAATTTGGCAGTGATATGCAGTTTTAGATATATATATCATGACATGTTGATTTTGTTTTTAAATTTATTTTTAGATATAACATGTTGATTTTGCAGTGATTTACAGTTTTAGATATATCATGACATGTTGATTTTGCAGTGATATGCAGTTTTATATATATCATGACATGTTGATTTTGCAGTGATATACAGTTTTAGATATATCATGACATGTTGATTTAGCAGTGATATGCAGTTTTAGATATATCATGACATGTTGATTTTGCAGTGATATGCAGTTTTAGATATATCATGACATGTTAATTTGGCTGTGATATTCAGTTTCAGATATATCATGACATGTTGATTTTGGTTTGAAATTTATTTTTAGATATATCATGACACTGATTTAGCAGTGATTTACAGTTTTAGATATATCATGACATTGATTTGACTGTGATATTAAGCCTAATGGAGGAAGAAGGATAGGAGGGGCTGTAAGACTTTATAACTACTATTTGGAAATGGCAAAGACAGGACATGTTTGCCAAACACCCTGTACTAATTATTATGTTGTATATTAACTACCGGTACAACCAATTTATTTATTGGGAGAGAACTAATAAAGTTAAGAATTTGTGTTAAATTCCTTTGATACAGTGTCAGAAAAATATTTCTAAATTAAGCTTGATGAGGGAATCTTCTGGAGGTTTTTTTTTTAATCTGTGTGAGCTACATCATACATGGCCATTTTATTGCAATTTCTGTTGGATCTTGTTTATTGTTTTTTATCAGTAGTAATTATTTTTGCAGATGGATTTTATAACATCTCCACCACACCAACCATTGGTTGTGATTTTGATATGAGTTCTGAGGACTTGGTAGAGAGGTGTATAAAGGAAGGTTTATACATAACTGATAGTGGACCTTTCAACTTTGCTGCCATTTTCTCAGACCCACAGAGGGATGAGGGGGGCACTGCAGATCGCAGGGATAAAGGACGACAGCTGCTGGAAAAATTCACAGCTAAAAGTAAAACATTCATGTATTGGTAGCATCTACAATCAGTTATCCCTTCCTTCTTTACAAATCTTTAAAAATCTTTTTCCCAGGAAAAAGTCATGATTAGTCATATTTATAAAGAAGCATCTTTGGATAGTGAAGATTCATGTTTTTTTAAATCATGACCCTCGGGGATAGGATGGCTACAATGGGTGATCAAATTTTACATGGGAATATATAGGAAAAAGAATCTGCTGATGAACTAGAAGGGCCATAGTTCTCAGGTGAGCGTTGTATCTCATGGGCCTCTTGTTAATATTAAGAATTAAATTTCCTTGAATCCTTCTGTTCTGTCAATTTATTGTCATGTGGCATGGCTGCATCTGTGCAAAGATATTTGATCCTAAAATAAAACTGTTTTTGTATTTCACAAGGATGCAGTCTGATAAATTATAAACATTCTTCACAATATATGTACAGTGAAACTTGTCTAATCCAGATGTTGTGTAATCCGAAATCTTGCTTAAAGGTCATATGAAACGGTTCTTAACAGTAGGATTTTACTTTTTAAACATAAAGACTAGTATGAAAGAATGTCAAATCACATTTCATAAATTTTTTTGCCTTTGCTTAACTGAAAAATGAAGGCCTAAATTTGTCATCTTAATAAATTTGTTACCCGCTTATCGTTCTTGATTTTGTGTTTTTATGACGTCACAAAGACCCATTGATGTAAATAACGCATTAGATATAGTGTAATTTTACCGTATTTTATTTAGTTAATTTTAGTCATTTATTGGGGATATAAATGTGATTATGATTTTAGATGAGCTACCTGGTTCTAAAGTACAGTTTACTCTATTTGAACTAATCGTTAATTAGGCCAACAACTGAAAACGAGAGGTTTTCATTGTAGGATGATCTTGATGAATACCCCGTTGAAATCAAGATTCTTCTCCTCCAACTATGATTACTTATTTTAAATTAATACTTTAGAAACAAAAATCTTCTTATTTCTGTTTAATACGCATATGATACATGATGGTTTTTTTTTTCATTCCCAGTGAAAGTGTATAATAAACAACAAAAAACAGCATATTAATTAATTAACATTGACCTAAACTTTCTTACAATAAAAATTTTAATGGGCATGCAAAATCTGTCAAATAAATTGTGTCATATATTGAGAGAGAAAAATATCCAGCTCATGAGTACCTCTTTTTTCCCAAATAAACACGGAGACATTGAAGTTCATGATAAACATGGAGCAATGAAAAGTCGTCTTTGAATGCACGCTTGCTGCAATCTGAAACACGAAGACTAATGTAAAAACGATATAGAAATAGGGGTTTATGACGACATCATCGTAATTTTGTTGTCATATTAAAACTGATTTTAAAAAATGGCTCAAAATTATCGGCATCACGAGTATGTACATGTATATACATGCACTGTAATGTTACGGTGCTGATACTTCTATAAGTTTGGCTGAGCAATTGCAGTTTGAAAATACTCATACACTTCGTGCATAAATTGATTAGTTAAAAAAAATCCATACCCCCATTGTTTGCGCGATTGCACATGAACAATTTTTTAAAATTTTTACAGTTAAACATTTTTTTTAATCGATCAGACTATATACTCTGCGTTTAAATAAATTGATACAAATTTAAACAATTCGGTCTGTAAATATATTCACACAGAAAAGTAGGATTACATAGATAGATAAAAATTATTACGATAACATAGTTATAGTGTTATGTGTATATGTACCGACTTCTTGGTAAGAAAAAAATACGAGGATAGAGTACAGACCCCCTCTCTTTGTATTCTCTCTCTCTCTCTCTCTCTCTCTCTCTCTGTGTCGAGTGAAGTGTCGAAGGACGACAATAAATTACACAGATAAAACATGCTAAAATCTTGCAAATATGCAATAGGATGTTAAAAGACAAATACTATCTTGTTTGAACATTGTATATTTATGCGCAGTTTTAGCCAAGATGATGATATTTCTTAAAAATTACGCTGCAAAAGACATGATCAGTTGTATAAAATGTTAGTACTGAATGTAGTGACTGGGTCTTACTGACGTCATAAGCAAAGGGAGATAAGCCGCGCTAGTTGAAGTTCATTTTCGCAGTCAAATAATTTTGATCGACTCTGCTGCCGCTAACTTGCATAAAAAATACAAAATGTAATTGCAGGCTTTTTAAAGTTACTCAGATGAACTCATTTCCGTATACAACCCCAAATGCTCAGGACATTGTTTCATATGACCTTTAATACAATGTTAACTTTAAGTCCATTTTATTAAATTCATTTAAAATTAAAATGTTTCCTAATCCAGAATGTTGTCTAATCCGGCCTATTTCTTTCGAACAAGTGGTGTCCGGATTAGACAAATTTTACTGTATGTTCTTCAGTGAGTCATGACTCACTGTCCTTCCATCTTTCCATTGGCTTGAAACTCCAAACTGAATTTTTATAGCCTAGTGTTCAGGTATCAGGCTAGTGCTTTTGGTGCACACTGCATTCTAAAGCAACTATAAGCCTTCGTTGACCAAACTTGCATGGATGATACATCTAAGGAGGTACACTACCAGAGTTGCTTGGATGCATAATTATGTCTCCTCTTCCAGGGGAGACATTGTTTTTGTCGATTTTCTTATTAAGGTCTTCCGTCTTCACGGAAGACCTTATAGTAATTCTACTGTTTCTTCTTATTATTATTTTTCCGCCCATCTAATTTTGTGCATGCAGTTTCTCGAAGACTACTGGGTGGATTTTAATGAAATTTGCAGAAACAATATGTTGTAATCTGAAGTTATTTTATCAGAGAGATTTTTAGGAAATTCACTTCTGGTGCCAAGTTACGGACCATTTTCTGAAATTAAAATGACATTTTGTCCGCGCATAATCTCAAGAAAGGTAAAAGATATCAAAGTCAATTTTTCAGGGATTATAGATCATGATAAATACTAGACAAGTCACCACTTTTTGTTGGTCGTCGGCACTTCCGGTCACTTACGGAAGTGATCAAAGAAATCGTAAAATTTCAACTTTCTTTTTTAAATCAATACTTACATCACATTATTGCATCTCCTTTGTATTTTCAAAATATGTTGGTCCCACCGGAAACAAAAACGTCAACTTCCGGTTACAAGAGAAAAACTACATAATTTGAGTATTTTTCTTTCCCATTAATATCTTTTGTAGATAAAGTTTTTGAAATGAATTTTAAATATGTTACTTAGACTGCAAATGTCTAGAGTAACCTCAAAAATCTTTGTAAAATACACTTCCGGTTGCATGTTTTTTCTGTCCTCAAAATGAGAAGTTGTCTGAGCAAGATCTCGGAAACGGTAGGAGATTAATACACCAAACTTATATGAGCAACAGACCTTAAGATGAAGGCAAAACCATTTGGGTTAAGAGCGTCAGCCGTCACTTCCGGTCGTCACAGGAAGTGATCAAAAAAATCGAGAATCTCAACTTTTCTTTTTTTAATTGAAAATTGCATCACTTTATTGCATCTTTTTTGCAGATCCGAAAGATGTTGGTCCATCCAGAAACAAAAACGACAAATTCCGGTTATAAGAGAAATACTAAATAATTTGAGTATTTTACTTTCCTATAAATATTCTTTATAGATAAAGTATTTAAAATGAATTTTAAATTTGTTATTCAGAGTGCAAATGTCTAGAGTAACCTTAAATATCTTTTAAAAAATCTTTTTCGGTCGTGTGTTTTCCTGTCCTCAAAATGAGAAGTTCTCAGAACGAGATTTCAAAAACAGGTAAAAGATTAAAACACCAAACTTTTTATGAGTAATAGACCTTGAGGAGTAGGCGAAACCATTTGGGTTAAACGTGTCAGTCGTCACTTCTGCTTGTCACAGGAAGTGATCAAAGAAATCAGAAATTTTAACTTTTCTTTTTTAATTTAAAACTTCACTTTATTGCATCTCTTTCGCTGTTTTGAAATATGTTAGATTCCACAGAAAACAAAAACGTCGACTCCCAGTTTTAGGAGATAAATTTATTTTTATATTTAACTTTCTCATAAATATTGCTTATTGATAAAGTACTTGAAATAATTTTATGTATGTTGTAGATACTGCAAATGTCTAGAGAAATGTCAGAGATTTTTATAAAATTCACTTCCGGTCGCGTGTTTACCTGTCCTCAAATTAGAATTTGTTCTCACAATATTGCTCGGCAACAGCAAAAGACTGAAGTCTAAAACTTTCAGGACTGATAGTCAGTCATCAGTTTATTTGAATCATGAGAAAATCTTGTATCACCATTACTTCCAGTCGTGACAGGAAGTGAAGCTAAAAAGTGAATGGTCGATGGTTAGCACATTAAATTTTCACGCTGACGACCAGGGTTAAATCTCCAGTGTCTGAATTTCTTTTATCACTTTTTTCAGCTTGAATTTTCGTTTTTATTTTTAGAATCGGACGGAAGACCTCTCATTACTCGCAATGAGTTTCTAGTTCTTCTTCATCTTCTTCATCATCCAAATTTTGTCCGGGCCGTAACTTAAATACCCTTTAACATTAAGACTTCAAACTTGGAACATAGATAGATGACCTTGAGAAGGAGTATACACCAACATTTTTGACCTTGACCTATTTATAAGGTCAAGGTCAATCTTTTACATCAAAATAGAGTTCAGCCCAAAACTTGAGATCCCTTTGATATTAGGACTTCAAACTAGTAACATAGAAAGAAGACATTGATACAAGATGCAACACACAAAAAATTTTGACCTTGACCTCTTTTCTTCCTCAAGGTCAAATAGGGAAAAACTTGATTAGACCATAACTTAAGAATCCTTTGTTATAAAGACTTCAGACATGGAACATGCAGAAGTGGTATGAAGGAGGGATGCATGCCACCAAAATTTTTTACATTGATCCAATTATAAGGTCAAGGTCAATCTTTTACATCAAAATAGAGTCCAGACCGTAGCTTGAGTACCCTTTGATATTAGGACTTCAAACTTGTAACGTAGAAAGAAGACATTGTTACAAGATGCAAAGCATTAAAATTTTGACCTTGACCTCTTTCTTCAAGGTCAAATAGAGAAAACACGAAAAGATCATAACTTGAGAACCCTGACATTAAGACTTCAAACTTGGAACATAGAGAAGTGGTATAGAGGAAGGGTGAATGCCAACATTTTATTTCACCTTGAACTATTAATAAAGTCAAGGTCAATCTTTTACATGAAAATATAGTCTAGGTCATAACTTGAGAACTTTTTGACATTAGGATTTCAAACTTGGAATAAGGAAAGACAACATTGAGACTAAATGCACTGCATCAAAATATTTGACCTTGACCACTTTCTTCAAGGTCAAATTAAAAAAAACACGACCAGACCATTACTTGAGATCCATTTGACATGAAGACTTGAAATTTTGTACACAGAATTTGAGTTGAGATGTACTGCATTATTATTTTTGACCCTGAACATATATTTGCACTCGTTAATGTTGGTAAAGAAGGGGAGACATGTGTTTTTTTGTAGAAAAAAACAATACCCACTAGTTTGACCTTATTTTCCAGATGAGTGTGTAGGTTTAAGTTCTTTGAGCAGGTCCATTACCAAGAAACTATAAGCCCTGCCTGATCCAAACTTGCATGGATGATGCGACAAGGGATGAATGCTCTCAGACTTGCTGTAGATGCTGGATTTGACTTACATTTTTTGGATAAGTGACTAGTTTAAAGTTTTTGAATAAGTCCACTCCCAAGTAACTGCAAGCCCTATCAGACCAAAGTTGCATTAATGTTGCATTAAGGGATGCACACTACAAGATTATTAGTTTAGCATTGGACTTTGTCGTACTTAAAGATAACATTCATTGAGGTTAGCTCTGTAATCTTTGATTACCTATGTTAATTTATCTATCAATACATGTTTAATCATCCTTAAAAAACTATGAAAGTGCTTTTTGTATTATATATTTTAAAAATTCTTCTATAAATATCTTATTCAATAGACCTTTCAAGTACATTATTTACAGAAATTAATTATTATAGATGAATAACAAAGGGGAATAACTTTTCTCAATACAAAACAAATAAATAAATAAACAAATCTTTGTACTCTCTTTGCCTTCCAGACACCCAGGAAGAGACCAAATTTTCAAAGAATTCATGCATTTTCACTATATATTCAACACAGCCCTGCCATAACATCAGAATCTCTGACTCAGGGACCCTGAAATTCACAATTTTGGAAGAAGCACACCTGCTCATCATAACTATGCACTTAGTTTATCTGCTTAATACCTAGGACCAGAGAAGATGATTTTCAAAGAATTGATGCATTTTCAATATAAAATTCATAGAGCCTTCCCCCTGACACCAGAATCTCTGACCAATGAAAATCACAATTTTGGAAGAGGCTCCATTGCTGATCATAACCATGCAATTATTTTATCTGTTGATACTCAGAAGCAAGAAAAAAGATATTTAAAGAATTCATGCATTTTAACCATTTGATCTATAGATTCCCTGCTCTAACACCAGAATCTCTGACCCATGGGCCATGTAATTCAGAATTTTAGCACCTTTGCTCACTATTATCAGGCACTTAGTTTGTTTGCTTAATATCCAGCAGCAAAGAAGGAGATTTCAAAGAAATAATAATATATATTCACTATATAGTCAACAGAGCCTCACCCTAACACTAGAACCTTTGACCCAGGGGCCACAAAATGCACAATTTTGGAAGAGACACCCTTGCTTGTCATACCTATGCACAATGCACATAGTTTGTTTGATTAATACTCAGGAGCAGAGAAGATTTTCAAAGTAATAATAATGAATTTGCACTAAAAGTATTCATTACCAGTAAAAATATCTCTCTCTCCCCCCCCCCCCCCTTCTGGACACCAGGAACACTGACTCTGGGGCAACAAATTTCGCCATATTGAAAGAGGCACTTTTGCTCATCATAACTATGCATTTAATTTACTTGCTTTTTACCAAGGAGCAAAGAGGGATTTCTAAAGAATTTTTCTAAAGATTTCTAAAGAACATTTTTATGCATTTTCACTATATAATTGGTAGAGCCCATTCTGACACAAAACTCCTGACCCAGGGGACATGAAATGCACAATTTTGAAAGAGGCAACCCTTACTTGTCATAACTATGTACAAAGTTTCTTTGCTTAATACCCAAGAGCAGAGAAGAAGATTTTCAAAAGAAATAATGCATTTTCACTTTATTATCAATAGATACCCCCCTTACACCAGAAACCCTGACCCAGAGTCTATGAAATTCACAATTTTGGAAGAGGCATCCCTGATCTTTATAACTATTCGTTTTTTGTTTTTTTTTGCTTAATACCAAGAGCAGAGAAGATTTCCAAAGAATTCTTACATTTTCACTACATATTCAATAGATTCCCCCCTGCCCCGAACCACTGGCCATGGGGCCACAAATTTCACAATTTTGGAAGAATCACACGTGCTCCTCATAACCACACACTGCACTTAATTTACCTGCCCAATACCCAGGAGCAGAGAAGATTTTCACTATATCATCTATAGAGCTTACACCTACCCCCCCCCCCCCCCCACCTCCCATCCCCTGCCCTTGACACCAGAACCCCTGACCCAGAGGTCATGAAATTTAGGAAGAGGCACACTTGCTCATCATAAGCATGTACTTAGTTTATCTGCTAAATATATCTGGAAGAGGAGAAAATGTCTAAAGAATTCATGTATTTCACTCTACGATCGTAAGAGCCCCGTCCAAACTCGGGAGCCCCTGACCCTAGAGCCATGAATTTCACAACTTTGTTAAAGGGCATAATACTTATTACAGTCATGACAGCACTTCAACTGCTTGATGTTCACTGTTCAGGAGTAAAGAAGAAGATTTTTAAAGATTGCATCAATTATGATGGTTTTAGCCCCACTCCTCAGGCCCCAGGGGGGATAGGGACCATGAAATTCACAATTTTTGTTCCCATTTATGAGATGCTATGGCAAAATTGTTAAATTGGTTCTGGAGTTCTAGAGAAGAAGCTGAAAAAAAAAATCAAGTCTTAACAGACAACATACAACGACAAACAAAAACAAATAGCAGTAGGTTACCTATAATTGACTCAGGTGACACCCCCCCCCCCCCCAAAAAGTTTTGATTAATAAACTATGAAAGCTACGGTTAATTTTAGTTCTCTAGATTTTTAGAACTTTTCTTTGATACAGTACTGATGTCAGAGAGAATTGAAGACTTCCTAAATCAGTGTCTTCCATTAACACAAATATCTGCATATTTACGCATAAAGAATACTTACTACCCCCTAAAATGTCATCCAAAGGGTCATCATGACACAGAAAAAATACGAAAACAAATTTTTAAAAATCAAGTTCAATGTTGTTGTCTGGATGGAGCCAGTTAAATAATCTGCATTTGAGGTTTCTAGGTACATGTATAAATGGCTGCGTTAATTTCCAAGTGGCATTGTTCAGAATTACCATGATTTCAGTGTCAACAATCTATTATTATTTTCAAATGAGCCATACAATTCTTAACAGATCCAGAAGTCTGAATTAAAAAAAATCACATCTGACATTTACTTGACAATGTTTATTTCAGTTTTGCTTTGTAAAAAAATGCTTCAGATGGTAATAAATAGGTCAGTTAAGCTCAATTACACGTAGTTAATGAACTGTTCTGCAGAACACTTTTCAGAAGTTGCTTCTTGAATGAGATGTACTCCGAGAAACCCAAACGACGGAATGAGTAGAATGTGTAAATAAAACAACAAGGACAATTATTATATTGTTTACTTTCATATTCTTAAAAATCAAATTATGATGTAAGAAAAAAAATAGCTAGTATACTGCGGAATCATCATTGTTCGTGGGGGATCAATGTTCGTGGATTTCGTGGGTAATCGTTACCCACGAATTTACATCCCCACGAACAACTATTTTGTCAATGTACCGATTAATTAGATCTACCAAATAAACGAGCTGCCCACGAAATTACATCCCCAGGAACCAATAAAATTTTGCTTGCCCACGAACATTGACCCCCACGAATTTAAATGATTCCACAGTAACATCTGAAAGCAAATCCAGAATACATTTTGACCCTAAAAAATTCTCTTTGACTCCAATGACCCTTGGTTTTCAAAGTTAGTGGAAAGTTGGAAACGCTGTAAATTTTAGGAGTAGAATGGTCTTTGGATTTTTTAAAAATAATGTCAATAAAAGATCTTCAGTTTTAAGACCCAAACTTCAACTGAAAAATTCCCAAATATCCAGTGTTCTCTGGAAAAAAAACCTTAACAATAAGAGAAAGACACCCTTTAAATTTAGGGTCATGTAGCCTTATCTGTCTAAAAATATTATATATGTGATTGAGTGATTGTTCAATGTCACCTTCTGTATGTACATGTATGAAGTACAGTTGTCACTTTCCTATGACAGCCCTGGCCCTCTCTGACTTCTACGTTTCTAAATCTGTTCCAATATTAATACAAATAATTCTGAATGCTTTTTTCACAGATGTTGATTTATGAAAGCATTTCTGTACTGGAAAAAGACAAGCCAATAATACTTAATTTTTCCATTTCATGTGATTTATATTTCATATCTCAATCATACTTGGTATTTAGGATGTTGATAAATGTAATTGCAGAGGAATTTGGATTGGTTGAGATGATGGAGATTTTGCGTGATCAGGAAAGTAATATCTGCATGTCAGGACCATTTATGACAACAGGAAGTATGATATCAGTGATTTCCCCTATTGTTCCAGCATGCCACTGGCTGACAGCGACTCCAAATCCTGTAGCCAGCTTCTTCAAACCCTTCATCTTCTGCCCTAACAACCAAGCTGGTAGGATATTGAAAATCTCTCCATTATGAAGTATTATTTTCAAGACCATCATGTTTATCTGGGTTTAACTTAATCTGTGAATAAAATATGATACAAATATTTTAAGGAATGTATTACAATGTTGTAAATATTTCAGACATTAATTGCTATTTAATATGGACAATTAAAAAATTAATGTTCTTAACATATGCTGTGAGTTCATTATTGAATCAAAGATGGGGGGATATTGTTCCTGATCTGTCTGTTTGTCTGCAAAAATTTTAACCTTGCCTATAACTTTTGATTGGTTGGAGCTAAGGTTTTCATATTTCACATGTGAATTCTTTGTGACAAGAACTTGTTTGGGTAACAACATATTTTACCTTTGACTTTGAAGTTTGACCCACTTTTGACCTTGGCCATAATTTTTGAAAGGTTAGTGTTATGACTTTCATATTTCACTTGTATATTTCTTTTACAAAGACCCTCCCCTTATTACTAGCCTTTGTGACCTTTTGACCATGACCTTTGAGTTTGATCTACTTTGAAAACTTGAATTTTTAGCTCACCTGAGCTGAAAGCTCAAATGAACACCCGCTGTCCGTCGTCCATATGTCTGTCCATCCGTCCGTCTGTAAACTTTTAACATTTTCACCTTCTCAAAAACCACTGGGCCAATTTTAACAAAAGTTGGTACAAAGCATCCTTGGGTAAAGCGGAGTTTAGATTATTAAAATGAAGGGTCTAGCCCCCTTACAAGGGGAGATAATCAAGAAAAGAAAGACAAAAATAGGGTAGGGTCATTAAAAAATCTTCTCAAGAACCACTGGACTAGAAAAGCTGAAATTTATTTGGAAGTATCCTGGGGTAGTTTAGATTCTAAATTGTTCAAATCATGACCCTCGAGGGAAGGATGGGGCCACAATAGAGAATCCAAGTTTTACATTGAAATATATAAGAAAAATCTTTAAAAATCTTTTTCTCAAGAACCACTGGGCCAGAAAAGCTGAAACTTGTGGAAGCATCCTGGGATAGTGTAGATTCTAAATTGTTTAAATCATGACCCCTGGGGGTAGGGTGTGGCCATAATAGAGAATCCAGTTTTACACTGAAATATATAGAAAAAAAATCTTTAAAATCCTTCCTTTTAAGAACCACTGGACCAGAAAAGCTGAAACTTATGTAGAAGCATACTGGGGTAGTGTAGATTCTAAATTGTTTAAATCATGACCGCCCGGGGTAGGGTGGGGCCACAATAGGTATTACAAGGGGATAATCTGATGAAGAACAGCAGGGCCAAAGTTACTCAGGTGAGCGTTGTGGCCCATGGGCCTCTTGTTGCATAACTTTTGAATGGTTGGTGTAAGGGCTGTCATATTGCCCAAATGTATTCCATATGGCAAGATCCTCCTTGGCTACCAGCATTTGTGAATTTTGGACCATGAAGTATGATCTACTTCTGAAGACTTAATCTTTGGCCATATCTTTTGAATGGTTGGTGCTTGGGCTTTCATATTTCACTTGTGAAGACCTTCCTTAAGGTACCAATATTTTTGACTTTGACCTTGGAGTATGACCTACTTTTGAAAAACATTAACATTGACCTTGAATTTGGAACAGTTGGTGCCAGGGCTGTCATATATAACAAATGTATTCCTTGTGACAAGACCTTTCCTTGCATACCAACATGCTGGACCTCATGACGTTGGCTTTGGAATTACCTTCTTTGAAAAACTTAAACCTTGACCATACTTTCTGAATGGTTGATACAAGGGCTTTCATAATTCTTATCTATATTTCTTGTAATAAAACCTTTCGTTTGGTACCAACATTTGACATTGACCTTAGATTTTGACTTTCATTTGAGAAACTGTCATATGGGAACATCAGTGTTTCACAAACACATCTTGTTGAGTCAATCCTCAAGTGAAATGTTCATCAGAAGATTCAAATTTGTTCAAATCATGACCCCCATAGGTAGGGTGGGGCTTAAATGGGGAATTGAAGTTTTACATAGGAATGTATAGGAAAAAAATTTAAAAATCTTCTTTTCAAGAAGAGAAATAGAATGTGGGATCAACTGTTTACAAAAAATACATGGGAAAAAATCAGATGAAATGATGAGGAAGAAAAGGGCCATATTGACATATTGTGGCACATGGGCTTTTGTTTAGCAATATGGATTAATTATCCATGAAGTAATGTATACTCAAAACTGAACTTTACTATATCCGTGAAAATTGATGCCCATGAATATTGATCATTACAAAATAAATCCATTACTTCAGGGACATTAACATCATCACCATTCTATGGAGAAAAGAACACAGTAAAATTAACACCCCAGGAGCAAGTTGACCGAAGTCATCCACTTGTTGAGGGGCACAAAAAACTCCTGGATCTCCTGGAGCAGGATGAGCTACAAGGTCACATGATTAAGAAGAATCTTAGAGAACTAGAGCAGAATTGTCTTGAGGATATCAAGGAGGTTTTGTCTCAGTTTACTGAACAAAGCTGTGTCAAAGTTGCTGCTATATTTAGCCACATGTGTAATATTGAAATGAACTTTTACAAAATGTAAGTTTCTTCTCCATGTGTCAAATTTCATTATTGTTATTAGATTAGCAGAAAGCTTTAGTAGCCAATTTAAGCTTTTTAAAAGACTCTTTGAATTATTTAAGGAATAACTGTCTAATTTTTTGGTTTCATGATGTGATCAATCGATTCGTGATAATTTGCATAAATGCCTTCGGCGTTTATGCATAAAATTATCACGCAAGCCAGTCGATTGATCATCGTCATGAAACCAAAAAATCTGACAGTTATTCCTTATATTTATATGCTCTTGATTCTGCAAAGTCACGTGCTACAAGCCCCGCTTCTGTCTCTATTTGTCCCGCCCTGAACGTGATTTTTTTTTTCACCATGCCTTTCGATGAACCAGTGGATTTATGTAGAAATAAAGTATTTTTACTATTTGAAATTTTATCTCGGACAAGGACATTGGAAATGTAAATATTTAGAAATAAATACTAGGTTTTGAAATTTTTTCTGATGTAGGGAATCTTAGATAAAATCAAAAAAGTACCCGGACTAGTTCTGTGCAATTTGAGTCAGAGAATTTTTATTTTTATGAGAAAAATTCTTTTTGGGTGAGTTTTTTATAATGGTGTTGATGAAGTGAGAAATAAATATAATTCCAGATTACACATATTTGCTGTAACATATATATGAATATGTATTTTGATAATGTGTATTTTGATGATCAGTAGACCTACTTCTATTGAATAATTTAATAATGATTTATTAAGCAACCTTTGAAATATTGCAAGCAAAAAACTTTCAAAACTTACCTCTTCATACAGTTTTGGTATAATGGTATAATATAACACAGAAGAAAGCTAAATGTAATTAAAACACAGGTGGGTAATACACATTTATATTTATTAAAGATACAAAACATGGTGCATAAAATATACAAGGATAGTTTTGGCTTTCTGATATCTTCAGAACAATAAATTATATTTGTTTAAGATATATTCATCTGCAGGATAAGGAAAAGAGTATTATTTCCTCACATTCCTAATGCTATGCATAGAATAAATTTGCTAGATGTTTATTTTAGCATTTTTTGATGTCGACAAGAAAGATTTAGTGTGAGAGGAACACTTTCAGCTGAACAGTTGCAATGTAGGAGTATAAGCAGGGTTATAAAACTTAGTTGGTTCTGGGATTTACTTGCAGTGATTCTGAATTTGTAATAAAAGCTCAGAAATCAACACCATATTTTTTATACATATTGGTATAATCATTTAAAATTTTATTAAAGAGTATTATCCAGTTGGAATTGAACATGTGAAACCTTTTTCAACTGCATGTAGTGTTTTGTTAGCTTACCTGAGCCTAAGGCTTGTGAGCTTTTCTGATCAAAATTTGTCTGTTTTCTGTTGTAAACTTTTTACAATTTAAAATTCTTCTCCAGAAGCACAGAGCCAATTTCAACCAAACTTGTCACAAAATATCCTTGGGTAAAGGGGATATAAATTTGTTCAAATGAAGGGCCAAGCCTTTTTCCAAGGAGAGATAAATATGAATTAGTGAAAATTAATGGCTTCTTTTAAAAATCTTCTTCTCAAGAATCACTTGACCAGGAAAGATGAAACTTGGTTGGAAGCATCCTCAGATCATGTAGATTCAATTTTTTTTTCTTCAGATCATGACCTACAGTGGTAAGGTGGGACCACAATAAGTGATCAAAATTTTACATAGTAATACAAAGGAGAATTCTTTTAAAGGCCGAGGTTTTCAACCGGTTGGTTTTCCTCAGGTAAGTTTGGTGTGGGGTGGAGCTTAATCGAAGCAGGTGAGAAGCCCCGAGGGAACGACGTTAGCTTGTGTATACCTACCTTTATACACAGGATGTTACCTGAGTGTATTACCTGTATACGTTTTCCTACGACATAGTAAAACGAAGTCATTGTTTTTCTTGTGTAGGTCAATTGAAATGTTGACCGTAAAATTCTGAAATAAACCATGCGAAATGTTTTTGTTGCGGACAGAATCCTACTCAAATTCTTTCTTTTAAAATTAATCTTTTTTAACAATTTGACAATTTCAAGTATACTGTGTGTTTGTTAATTAATTTCATATGTTATAACGAATATTATAGGACCAAATTTGTCGTTGTAAGCTGGCGACACAAAGGGAAGTAATTCAAATTGCACGTTGTGTACGCAATTCGAAAGAAAAAAGCGGGTCATAAATAAGTCTCTCACTAATATTAAAACTCAGAAACGCTATTTGGAGACTAAATTATGTAGAAATATAATAAACTAAATAAATATTTTTAGAAGATAATTCCTACGTGATTTTTCCATGACGCATTGTCTGTAAAAATGGCCAGGGCTTTGGACCGGGGATGATTCCCCCGACAGCTATAGGTGAAACGGGAATTGAATCACCTGGATTGTACTTTTTTCCCTTCGGGATTCATAATTTCGAATACTATATGCAATGCAAGATGTTATAATTTCTCTTAAACTGGTTATTATACTTTAACTTTCGTCACCGTATCTTGAAGAAAAGCGACACGTATTTGTCTTATAAAGTTTCTCTTGAGCAATATTACAATTTTGTCATACTTGTTTTAAAAAAATAATTTTATTTAATTCCATAACATTTCAAAAGGGGGTCGGTATATTTTGTTAAGGTGGAATAAATGTACGTCAGTTATGTTTTGACAAATTATAATTATCGATTGTAATCGTGAAATGAAATCCCCCTTTTTAAATTACAATTTTAATATTTAAGCATGATTTTTCTTATCATTTATTTAATTATTTGACAAAATGATTATATTTATGGCATATTCTTATGCATTTAAATAATGCCTTGATTGCTTCTTTATCACGTTGGCATTTGCGGTGGGCATCAAAAGCCTGAATGTAAATTGGATGGTCGGTACAAGCTCCAGACAAGGTACACAAGATATACACAACGGCAGAAAACTAAATGTCAATCAAATCCAAGTATCCAATCCCAGGCTTAATTTCAGATGATTGACAGGGGTTCTAAGACCAGGTAAATTTGAAGGAGGTGCTTATTTCCTCCCCCTTTAAGATCTTCTTCTACAAGAACAGCAAAGCCATGCTTGATCAGATTTATATGAAAGCATCCTCAGTTTTGATTCAATTTTTAGCTCTTCTGAGCCAAAGGCTCAAAGAGCTAATGCTATGGCCATTTGTGTGGTGTGCGTAAACTTTTTAGAATATGGGCCATAACTCAAGAACCCCTTGGCCAATTATTGTCAAATTTGTCACAGGGTATCCTTGGCCCAAGGGCTCCCTTTTATACTAAAACTAGGGTTGTGACGCTTAAACAAGTGGAGATATTAGGAAAATAGAAACAAAAGTACTGGTTGCTAAAAAATCTTCTTCTCAAGAACCACTGGGCAGATTATCACCAATCTTACACAAAAGGATGAGGATATGTTGTAGATTAAAACTTGTTCAAGGCATCACCCTGGGGCAAAGGGCGTGGTCTCAAGGTCACTTCAAAGTTGACCAAAAATTACATTTTATTAAAATGTTGATATTTTGCTTACTATAACCTACTTTTGAAAATTTATGGCTTTAATTAAATATTTTGGGTACTAATTGGCTTAGAATCATCAAACTTTGTCAGTCGATGTATCTTGGGTCCTCGGAGTACAACAACTGAAAAGTAGGTCACCGTGACCTACCTTTGAAAATTTATGGCTTTAATTAAATATTTTTCAGGTACTAATTGGCTTAGAATCATCAAACTTTGTCAGTTGATGCATCTTGGGTCTTTGGAGTAGGTCGACTAAAAAGTAGGTCACCGTGACCTACTTTTGAAAATTTATGGCTTTAATTTAATATTTCGGGTACTAATTGGCTTAGAATCATCAAACTTTGTCAGTTGATGCATCTTGGGTCCTCAAAGTACAACAGCTGAAAAGTAGGTCACCGTGACCTACTTTTGAAAATTTATGGCTTTAATTAAATAGTTTGGGTACTAATTGGCTTAGAATCATCAAACTTTGTCAGTCGATGTATCTTGGGTCCTCGGAGTACAACAACTGAAAAGTAGGTCACTATGACCTACTTTTGAAAATTTATGGCTCTAATTAAATATTTTGGGTACTAATTGGCTTAGAATCATCAAACTTTGTCAGTCGATGTATCTTGGGTCCTCGGAGTACAACAACTGAAAAGTAGGTCACCGTGACCTACTTTTGAAAATTTATTGCTTTAATTAAATATTTCGGGTACTAATTGGCTTAGAATCATCAAACTTTGTCAGTTGATGCATCTTGGGTCCTTGGAGTACAACAACTGAAAAGTAGGTCACTGACTTACTTATAAAATTTTATGGTCATAACTTTAAAAAATATTTTAGGTATTAATTGGCTTAGAATCTTCAAACTTAGTTGATGGTCCTCAGAGAATGACAAGTGATAAGTAGGTCACCATGACCAACTCTCAGGTACTAGTTGGCTTAGAATCATCTTGGGTTCTCAGAGTGTGAATTGGAATTTCAAGGGTTTATCTAAATATACAGGATACTTAGAGGCTTCAAATAGAAGTGATAGGTTGTACAGTTTATCAGAAGAGCGATTCAAGGCCCTTGGGCCTCTTGTTTTTAATTATGACCCCAGGAGGTAGAGTTGGCCACAATGAGTGATCAAAGTTTAACATGGCAATATATAGGAAATATCTTTAAAAATCTTCTCAAGAACAGGGAAGTCATGATGAATCGTATTTATATACAAGCATCCTCAGGTAGTTTAGATTGAAATTTGTTCAAATCATGAGCCCCGGGGGTAGGAAGGGGCCACAACAGGGTATAAAGTTTATAATTATATAGGATTATATAGGAAAGATCATTAAAAATCATTTTCTCAAGAACAGCAAAGCTATGTTTAATATTATTAATATAGAAGTATCCTCAGGTACTGTACATTCAAGCAAATCAATGTCCCTGGGGGTAAGGAGAGGCCACAATAGCAAATAAAATGTATAGGAAAATAATCTTTAAGAATCTTCTGAAGCCATGGTTAGTCAAAGAAAAATGGAAGCATCCTCAGTTGGTGTAGATTCAAGCCTAAAAATTATGCCCCCTCCTTTTTATTAGGTTGGGACTTCTTATATATTTAAACTTTTTCAATACAGAACTGATTTCTGTTTCCTAGCCAAAGTGCTCAGGAAAGCGATGTGGCTTATGGGCCTCTTGTTGAATATTTTTTGGTATGGTATAAATTAACATTTATCCTGATTTGATGTTAATAGGCTTGTTAATAAGTTTATCAAAATCTTATTATAGAATATAAAAATCTTGAAATTTTCTTCTGCCTTTGGCAGAAAGTGCTTGACAATGTGTCCTTAAAATCAGGGATGAAAACAAGCAACCAAACAATTGGAATTTAAAAAGAGGACACATAATTCATTTTTAGGAGGAGTGGAGAGTGAATGAAATTCTTTTGAACAAAATGGCCGAGCAAAAACTTTGTAATGAATATCAACATAAACCTAACTATTTATATATATTTATTATGTAAATTGATGACCAAGAACATATACCTGCTATGCTGACTTACAGCATTTCTTAGACTGTAAGTGAGCTACATTTACATAGTGACCACTGTAGATTGATAGATGGGCACCTTTCACTTTTGTATTAATTTTTAAAAAAAGGTTTGCCAAGTCTAGTGTTTCTGTCAAATTTTTTTTTTTGAGTTGTTGTAGTATTGATTTGTGCAATATTTTTTTTAATTTCTATACGAGTGCAATATCATTTTCTACACATGTTAACATTTGAATTATTTATTGTTATTGTTTATATATATATATATATATATATATATATATATATATATATATATATATATATATATATATATATATATATATATATATATATATATATATAAATAATTTGAAAAGCAAAACGTAGAACCGGTACAGTTTTGTTGGGTGTATTAAAAATAAAAATCCAAAAAAATCACAAAATGTTTTCTGCAAGCGCTTTCGCCATGTTAGGCTCTTCAGGCAGTTATACAAATGTCAGGTAGGTTACCTGGTAACGTCCAAAAGCAAAAGTTCATTGTGACGTCATAATAGATCAAGGTAGCGTAAAGTTGCCGAATTAGATAATATACAATTATGGACTCTTTCGGTGGTGAATATGGTTTGTTATTCACCAGAA